AATATGACATTCAGACTGTCAACATTGATACAACCCAATAGTCTTATTCAGATTTCCCCAATTTTGTACTTGTTTGCTTGTGTGTGTATGTATATTAAGCCCTATACAATTTAATCACTTTTATGTGTTCATTTATCTGTCACCACAGTCAAGATGCTGAGCAATTGCATCACAAGGGCCCCTCATATTGCCCTTTTATAACCACCCCCCCCAGTCCCTGACAACCTCACTATTTTGTCCTCTATTTGTAAACTTTTGTCATTTCAGAAATTTTATATAGATGGAATCATACAATATATGTTCTTATTGAATTGGCTTTTATTCAGCATAGTTCTCTGCAAGTTAATCCAAGATGAATCTATCAATAGTTCATTCCGTTTTATTGCTGCGTAGTATTCCATGGTGTGGCTATACCATAGTTTGTTTAATGACTCGCCTGTTAAGGACATATGAGCTGGTTACAGTTTTTGATTATTACAAATAAAGCCACTATGAACATTCATGTACAGGTTTTTGTGTTAACATTAAGTTATTGTGTTAACAGTAAATCCTAGGATAAATGCCTAGGACTGCAATTGCTGGGCCACATAGTAGTTGCATATTTTTTAATTGTCTTTATTGAGGTATATTTACATACAATAAAATGTATACATTGTAAGCATATAGTTTGATGTGTTTTGATAAATGTAGCAGCTGTGTAAGAATCACCCTACTCAAGACAGAATGTTTATATCCCATCAGAGACTTCACCCTCTGCCTCTGTGCAGTCAATCTCTGCCCATCTATCACTAGAGATTAGGTTTTAGATCATTAGATATTAGAATTCCATATAAATGGAATCATAGTGTATTCTTTTGAGACTGTTTTTTTTTTCACCTAAACATTTTAAGATTCATTCCTGTTGTTTTGTGTATTAGTGATTTGTTCTTTTTTTCCTTTTCAGTAAACTCTTTCTTAGATCACTTTTAGATTTACAGAATAATTGGGACAATAGTAGAGAGTTCCCATATATCTTGCACCCAGTTTCTCCATTATTAATATCTTATATTAGTATGGTACATTTGTTACAACTAATGAACCAATATTGATACATTATTAACTGAAGTCCATAGTTTATTAAGATCTTAGTTTTTCTAATTAGTCTTTATGTCTCTTTAGGTTCCTCTGTGACAGTTAATGCTTATATTTTTAAGAAACTGCCAACTTTATAGAGTGGCTATACGATTTACATTCCCACTAGCAGCGCGTGAGTGATCCAGTTTCTCTGCATCCTTGTCAATGTCTGCTCTTGTCACTATTTTTTATTTTAGCCCTTCTGATAGTTGTGTAGTTCTATCTCATTGTAGTTTTAATTTGCCTTTCTTTAATGACTAAAGATGTTGATTGAATGTCTTTTAATATGCTTATTTGCTATCTGTCCTCTGTTGAGATGTCTGGTTGTTTCTTTTGTCCATTTTCTAATTGAGTTATTTTTTCAAATACTGAGTTTTGAGGGTTCTTTATACATTCTTGATACTAGTCTTTTGTTGGATATGTAGTTTGTAAATATTTTCTTAAAGTTTGTATTTTGTCCTTTCATCCTTTCTACGTGGGCTTTCACAGAGGAAATTTTTAAATTTGATGAGGGCCAGTTTATCAGTTTTTTCTTTTATTGATCATGCTTTTAGTGTCAGGTCTAAGAACCCTTGTCTAGCAAGAGCCCTAAGATTTTCTCCTGTTTTTTCCTAAAAGCTTTATAGTTGTACATTTTACGTTTAAGTCTATGATCCATTTTGAGTTAATTTTTGTATAAAGTTTAGTTTTCAGAATATTTTTAAAAGATATCCTATATTTTATCTAGTATATGGCTTTATATTTAAAATATAAATATTTGGGAGAAGGGTATAGCTCAAGTGGTAGAGCACATGTTTAGCTTGCTAAGGTACTGGGTTCAGTCCCCAGTACTGCCTCTAAAAATAAATAAACCTAATTACTGCCTGCCCCTGGAAAAGATTTTTTTAAAAAAGATGAGGTTAAAATGTAAATATTTGATCCATCTGGAATGGAGGAGTGGATGAAAGGATTGTATATACTCCCTCTTTCCAGATAGATCTAATATTTAAATTTTAAATGTGAAGCCAGCTGTTTTCCAGATTACTCAGTCATACACCATCATTTATCCAATAATCTTATCTTTTCCCTGTTGATAGATGCTATGAATATTGGTTTATAGGTTTGTGTGGGAACATAAGTTTTCAGTTTTCTGAGATAAATGCACTGGAGTGCAGTCCTTTACCTATTTTAGAGGGGGGTTTGATTTATATCCTTAGTTGTGGCATAATTTACATACAATGAAATGCACAGATATTAGATATTCAGTGTGATGAGTTTCACAGTTGAATAAACACATGTAATTATCACCCACCCAGATATGTTACGGTGTTTTAAATCCAACCAAATAAAGGAACAGTCTAGGAAACTCAGAGCAGTATCATTCTGGTAATGGGTGTCTGCTTTGTTTGTTTTGTTTTCTCTCTCTCTCTTTTTATTAGTTTAATTTTTAATTTTTTGTTTGTTTTGTTTTAATGGAAGAAGTAGCTCACTTACCCAGAATTATTGAAAATTCAGAAGTGTTTCTTGCTTCTCAACAAAATCAATGAGTATAGTCTAGTTTCCTAGAGGGAAACTTTGATTTTTGTTACATTATACGGATTCCATTTATTTCATTAAAGCAGTTTATTTTATTGATAGCCATTGGAACTATTCCTTAAGATTAATTCATATTTGGTATTATGTATATAGCTATTTTTTGTCTCCAGGTCTTAATATAGAAATTATTACACAGAAATCTCTACTACAAAAAAAAAAAAACAAAAAAACAAAAAACCTCTCACGCTTACCTTGAGCAATATGCAGTTCTATTTGGGAAGTCCATTGGAGGTTGTGGGAATGTTATTTGAGACATAGTATGTTTAGTGTGGTGAACACACTGATAATCTTTCATAAAACTTTTTCATAGAACTTGCTCTGGGAATTTGACACAACATTGTAAAATGATTATAAATCAATAAAAAATGTTTAAAAAAAAAAAAAGAACTTGCTCTGGGAAAATAGTTTGCTTTTATAACAGTAGCACTACTATTACCATGTTAACAATCTCTTCCTTTCCTGATTCTTTCATTGCTAACATTTCTGGGTAAGGGAAAATCAGGTATGAACGACATATGGTTAAGAAAAAAACCGAGTAATCCTGATGCTGTTCTGTGCCCCCACACCCTCAGGTGGCTCTTGGCCAGCAAGTTTCTCTTTGTCTTTGCATAGTTAGTTGCTTTTATTAAGGGTAAACCAGGAGGAGATTATTTCTCATGTTAGAGACTTAGACCATTTGTTAGGGAGGAACTCAACAATAGGGACAAGAGTAGAATAGATGCAGATACTCATTTGGGTTGCTAAGCTTTGCTAAGTTCTGAAAATCATTGCCATGATTCCTGCAGGTTCATATTCCACAATTTTGGCCAATAAAGTATTTCATATGCTGCTACTTTATCCCTAACAATAGAACATTCATTTTATTGGAAGAGAGTCTTATGTTACTGTAATATCATTAATTAATTTAAAAAGTTGTATATGAAAGAGATGGGAGATGTTTTTCTTGGTGCCCAGTAGGAATAAGAAAATGTTTCTCTGCATCCAGTTTGCCTGGAGCCTGGTCATTGAAGATGTGCCAGGTCATACTACTGAAATGGTTCTGTGGCAAGGGTGGTGCTTGATGCCAGTTGTTCATTTACAGGTAGCTTTTGAAAATGGCTGCCTCTCATTTCACCGGGCTCACAGCTGTTGCTGATGTAATTAAAGATCTAGACACTCAGATAGCTGTAAGTAAGCTCCTTGAGGCCACTGTGGGCAGAACTTGATGAATGTGCTTCTGATCTTGATGACACCAAAGCTGATGTCTACAGAATCAATCTCATGGCTCTAAATTTAGAAGTCCTGGCTACTCCAGGCTAGGGACTCTGCACGTACTTAAAGATTGCTAACACTCAGAGAAAATTTGCTCTTGATGACAGTGAAGTGCTTACGTTTAACAGTTGCTAAAAATTGTGTTTATTGGGCATAGCCCTGACATAGACTTAAGCATGTTTTGAAATGCCAGAATGAACTAATCTGATTTCTGAAGTTTGGTGACTAGGTTTCAAGTGTGTGATTGTGCCGTGATTTATTTAAATTTAACATTATTTGATGTTCAAAAATAATGCATGTACTACTTAACCGAGTATACTGTTTTCACAAAGTCTTCAGAAATGTCTTGCTCATTCTAGTTTATTTTTGTACACAACATTTCCTTATTTCATTTGTGTGGACTATTTCATTTAGCTTTTGGAGAGGAGATGGTTTCTAAATATTAGGTGGGAACAATGAACATTCTTCATTTCCTCCATTTTCAATGCGCAGGTATCAAATGAAGACCCTTCAAAATCTGACAGATCGTATAGAATTTTACTTTCAAAATTCATCCTTTATTACAGGTGCTTTCAGAGCTAATTCTCTTGTTTTCCTTCTACAGTTGATTGGCCTTGGTCCTCACAGCTCCAAAAAGAAACAGGATCTCGATAAGCTCTATGAGCTGAAGTCCAAAGCACGGCAGATTATGAACCAGTTTGGCCCCTCAGCCCTAATCAACCTCTCCAATTTCTCATCGATAAAACCAGAACCAGCTAACACCCCTCCACAAGGCTCCATGGCCAATAGCACTACAGTGGTAAAGATCCCAGGCACTCCTGGGACAGGAGGGCGTCTCAGCCCTGAAAACAATCAGGTATCATCCTCTCTTTGTTCTCTGTGGGCACCTCTTATCTGTTCTTTGAAGCGGTAATACTTTGAGAGATGTCCATCTCAGATGCTGCCTCTTCCTCTCAGCTGAAAAAGAAGGTCTTTTTCCTCCTTTGGACTTCAAGTACATTTATCCGTTCTTACTTTGTAGTATTTCTGTGTGTGTGTATGCATATATACATACATACACACACACACACTAACACCACACCTTGCCTATGACAGGTTTTTATATATTTATATACAAATATATGTGCTATATAATTGTTAAATAAAATAAAATAGTTAAATAATTAATGGATTCATTATTCATTATTCCTATAATAAAAATACTCTTGCCTCCAGTCTTTTCTCCTAGTTCATCTGGCTGCTGCCATTATTAATTTTCCAGTGATTCTAAAATCTGACCCCTCTTTCTACCCATGATCCTGATTCTGTCTTCCAGAGCCATAAGAAATAAGTATAATCTCTTGACTTGGGTCTTGTAGGCTGGATAGAATAGGATGAGGAGACAACATTTCAAGAGAATGAGGGGAGGAACCGGCAACCGTGAATGGGAAGGGTTGGGCAGATAGTCAGGAGGCTAACCCATGTTGAATGTGGAGGTGAGGAGATAAAATCGTACGGGTAGGATTATGGCAGAACATCCTGGGCTGGTGCCAGTCAGTTTCCACTGGAACGTTTAGTTAATAAACAATTTTTATTTAATGATGAGTGAAAGTAACATAATAAAGCTAATATGCCTTAGGAGGATTAATTTGACATAAGGGGACAAGAAAGATAGGAAAGGGAGCAGACTTTTGCAGTAAGTCAAGTCTTAAGACTTTT